TTGTAAATTCCATAATTTTATGCTTCCTATTAATAACATATGACTGTCAAAAAGAGTGATATGATATAGCCAAAAATTTGAATATGATTGCAAGTCAGATACAACTAGGGAGACACAGCAAGTGTAAGGTAATCAAATTATTGACTATATGCCATCGACTCAGTGTTGACTCTGAGTGACCACACAGAAAGATTTTATCCAAGATGATCTGTTCCCAAGCTAGTCCTTCAAGTCCTCCAATGATTCAGTAATCTCTGCTGTAACTGAATCTGCTGGTCATCCTTTTTCTTTTTCCTTTTACCTTTGCAAGAGCTAATTCCGCAAGTTAAGGAAATGTGCTATTTGCTTATATTTGCTTCTTCATTAAGAATTTAGCAGCATGCTAAACTCACCCCAGAAGGTATGCACATGGTCCTTGGAATGGGTGATGGGTTAGGGTTAGAGTTTTGTGGCTGCCATGATCCCTAGCAGAAGTTTCAGCAATTTCCTAAACCAATGGCCCCCAACCTTTTGGGCACCAGGGTGGTTTCATGTGCTGCCTGCATCCCATGGGTGGGGTTTTGCTTGTTTGTGCGGCCCAGTTTTTGGAATACTGCAGACCAGCGCTGCTCCACGGACCAGGGGTTAGGGACCCCTCTCCTAAACAATAGTTCCAACCATTTGTTTTTGCAGATAGAGAATAAAAATGCTATAGATGTAGCACAGACATGTTCTTTACTGCCATGAGGACTGGAGACCTTGGGTTTTTAAGAAAGGAAACAATGTGCTTATCTAAGTTGTACACAGCCATACTTACAGTGTTCTTTATCTAAAATAACTTAGTTTTCCCCACCCATTATTTATTGAGTGCCCCTTTCCTTTGTTGATTTTAATCCATTTTGTTCTTATTCCCCTTCGTCGTCAAACCCATTCCAGGGTACCAACATTGGTGCTGGCAAAGCTGTTGGTATCGTCATCGCCACATGCGTGAGCACTGAGATTGGTAAGATCCGCGATGAAATGGCGGCCACAGAGCAAGAGAAGACACCATTACAGCAGAAACTGGATGAGTTTGGTGAGCAGCTGTCCAAAGTCATTTCCCTCATCTGTGTGGCTGTCTGGCTCATCAACATCGGGCATTTCAACGACCCCATACACGGAGGCTCCTGGATCCGCGGCGCCATCTACTACTTCAAGATTGCTGTTGCCCTCGCTGTGGCTGCCATCCCAGAAGGTCGGTTGAGGCCATTCCAGGTTCCCACAACCACCTGTCCAGGCTTAATGAATGCTGGCAAATTTCTTTCTTTCTTTAAATAGCTTTTGCTGCCATCGTATTTTTGTGATTTCATTTTCTTCTGCACTGTACATATGGTGCACTGAACTCTGGAAAGGGTCTGAAGGAGTTGGAGTCTAGCTCTTTAGATATTAACCCATACTCTTGCAAAGCGTTAAGTTATCTGTGACAGGATTTACACTTTGTGCAAACTCTCATTGTTACATGTTGGCTTGCTGTACTCTAGTTATACATAATGCTAAGCTATAAATACTGGTTTACAAATTTAGGTGGTTGAATTTATAATATACAGGTAGTCCTTGACTTACAACAGTTCACTTAATGATCGTTCAAAGTTACAACCAGACTGAAAAAAAATGACAAGACCATTTTCCACACTATGACTGTTGCGGAATCCCCATGGTCAAAATTCAGATACTTGGCAACTGACTCATACTTATGACGGTTGCAGTGTCATTGGGTCAGGTCTTTTGCAACTTTCTGACTACCAAAGTCAGTAGGAAACCAGATAAATGTAGCAACTGTGTTACTAATTTAATAGCTGCACCATTGTTAAGTGATTCACTTAACAATGGTGGCAAGCACGGTGGTAAAATGGGGCAAAACTCGCTTAACAAATGTCTAATTTAGCAATAACATTGGGCTAAATTGTGGTCGTAAATCTAGAACTACCTGTAATCACATTAAGCCAAAACCAAAAAGAGCTCAAAACTTCAGGTTTAAATGTGCCACTGATACTTCTCTATATCCTACCTGATTTTATTTAATATTTTTTTAAATGGAAAAGCAACAAATGGGGAGCTAGCAGATTGCCAAAAAAAATAAAAAAGGTGGCATTCTCTGCCATCCTTTTTCTTGCCAGGAAAGCCTTGGGAATTGCATAGAACAAAGAGGCATTTTTGAGACAATAAAGAAGGGAGCAGGTACAGCTCAATGCAAGGTGTGGACTGATCAGAGGTGGTATTCAGCAGGTTCTGACCAGCTCTGAAGAACCAGTGGTGGAAATTTTGAGTAGTTTGGAGAACCGGTAAACACCACCTCAGACTGGCTCCAACCCCATCTATTCTCTGCCTTCCGAGTGCCAGCTGATTGGGAGGGAATGGGGATTTTGCAGTAACCTTCCCCTGGAGTGGGGAGAAAATGGAGATTTTACAGTACATACTTCCCCTGCCACACATATTCTTTGAATATGGAACAATCTAGAAGCTAAAGTAATGAAGGCTTGCAGGCTTGCTTTCTGGTACTTTGGTTTGTTCTAACTACCCAGGCCCACCATGGCAGCCATTTTGGAAGACTGACGGAGAGGAGGGTGTTTCTTAAAATGCAAATGTGTCTACCTGCCTCGCCCCCCACTCCCTCCAAGCTAGGCTTCTGGTGTTTTGACTACAGTAATGTTGTATCTGTAGGCCTTTCAACACAGAGAACAGAATTATGACCTTTTTTCTAGTCCTTCTACTACAATGTTGTCACTCTGAGATTTTCAAGGCTGTTCAGATCCAAAGTATTTCCTATACTATTGGGCTATGACACACTGTTACAAATCTCATTAAAGCCTTAGCATTCTTTGTCACAAATTGGAATCTGATAATGTGAGTTTCTCAATGATATCTGAAAAAGAAGTATAATTATGGGTAGTAAGGGCCAAAAAAGGGTCATCCAAGTGGATTTGTTTGAATGTGACATGAATTCCCTAAGCTNGGAAGGATACTGTAAAATCTCCATTCCCTCCCCACTCCAGGGGAAGGTTACTACAAAATCCCCATTTCTTCCCGATCAGCTGGGACTCGGGAGGCAGAGAATAGATGGGGGCGGGGCCAGTCAGAAGTGGTATTTCCCGGTTCTCTGAACTACTCAAAATTTCCGCTACCAGTTCTCCAGAACTGGTCAGAACCTGATGAATACCACTTGTGCTAAAAATAAAAAATAAAAAACTTTATTAATAAAAAAAGCTTCCTAGAGTTCACAAACTTCTACAAACAGTTCATCCCCACCTTCACAAAGATCGCCAAACCCACCCTAACCTCTTAAAGACAGGGGGCACAGGGACAAGACCCCGCCCGGGACAACCTCTACAGTGGGATCTAACCTGCCAAGAGGCATTTAAAACACTAAAAGAAATGTTTGCAAAGGAACCAGTGCTGAAGCATCCTGACCCCGAACAACTCTTCGTTATCCAAGCAGACACCAGTAACGTGGCAGTGGGAGCAGTGCTACTCCAAAGAAATAGGCAAGGAAACCTACAGCCCTGCGCCTACACCTCCCACAAGCTCACGGATACAGAAAGACGATGGGCTGCATGGGAAAAAGAGGTTTTCGCGGTGAGATGGGCACTACTAACCTGGCTGTCAGACCTGGAAGCCATCTTTTACTTTTGGATTTCAGGCCTGCTACACTTTCTACTGTGGGAAAATGGGAGGGGGGATTATACAGAGTATGAGTGATGTGCAGCCATAATAACATTCTTTCTTAGAAAGTCAAGGTCGCTTTGTCCCTGCACCTGGATGGATGGAGATGGGAGAAATCTTTCTTCATGGCAATGAAGGATTGGACCACGTGATAGACTTGTGGGTGTTGGGGCAGGGTCTTGAACTTTCAACTGGGTGAGAAAACCTGGAAGCTTTCAGATTCGGGTTTTCCCAGATGTGCCAACGTGGTTCTTTTAATAAATTGGAACTTCTAGNTCTGTCTCTGTGATCAAACATACTGATCCTGTCCCAGATCCCCGGGCTGTAAATCAGGACAAGAAGAACATGCTGTTTTCTGTGAGTATTATTGGCAGGGATGAAGATGTAAAGTCTCATGATGCATCTTTTTGTCCCTGATCCAAATAGTGAATGGCAGGGATACTAGTGTGACATTAAACATCATATTCCAATTGTCTTTATTTGGTAACACAGTGGGATAAAGAATCAGCTGAATGTCTATGGAGATTCTCAGTCATCCAGGTCATGGTTGCCCCAAAAGTGCTTTTTCAAAAGGCAACTGGACTCCCCCCACTCTGAAGATATTTTGCTTTTCATCCAAGTTCATCTCAGAGCTGAAGAAGTTTCTTGGATGAGAAGCAAAACATCTTCAGGGAAAAACCAAAGTCCAGTTGCCTTTGGAAAAAACACTTTTGGGACAATCAAGTGACATCATTTTATTTGCTTTTCCCAGCTTTCCCTGCTCTCTCAAGCAACAATGCAAATTGATATTACATTTTATTCACCTATAGGTAACTGGGGAGATCGGGGCAAAACGACCTGCTTGTAAATTCCATAATTTTATCTTTCCTATTAATAACATATGACTGTCAGAAAGTGTGATATGATATAGCCAAAAAAATTGAATATGATTGCAAGTCAGATACAACTAGAGAGACAACTAGAGTAATCAAATTATTAACCATATGTCATCAATCAGTATTGACTCTAAGTGACCACACAGAAAGATTGTATCCAAGATGATCTGTCCTTCAGATCCTCCTATGATTCAGTAATCTCTGCTGCAACTGAATCTGCCGATCTGCTGATTTTTCTTTTTCCTTTCATCTTTGCAAGAGCTGATTTTGCAAATTTTAAGGAAATGTACTGTTATTTGCTTATTTTTGCTTCTTCATTAAGAATGTGTGGATCTGCGTACTTGAGAGTGGATCTGCGTACTTGAGAGACCCGCCTCCTGCCAATTACCTCCCTGCGACCAATTAGATC